ATTACTTAATCTTTGTCAAGAAATCATGAAAAACCAAGGTTAATAGCTCTGCTTTTTTCTATTTCTCATTTTTCATCATCAAAAATTTGGTTTAATAGGTCAGATTGTTGCAGTTTTAACTGCAGATGGCATCTTTTCACCTTTATTCTTGATTTATGATTTGGTATTGATTTTAATCTTTAAATAGATGATAAATAACTACTGGCCCTTATAAATACTTCATCCTTTTGATTCCTCAAGATTTGTTATAAAGATTCAAAATATTTAAGAAGATGATCTATACATGTATTGTGGGCATCTTTGATGAAAATATGAAAAGGGAATAACCAGACATTTGCTAAGAAAAAAATGTCCGTAGCCGATCACATCTCCACAATCATAAAATTAACTCAAAGGAATACAGACCAATGTATTTGTTTGTTGATCATAAAAAACAAGTACTTCAATGAAATAAAATGTAAACATAAAGGCTTTCATCCACCAATGAGTGCCTTATGCATATCACATGTTCAGATCATATAAGATTCTAGGAAAAGGAAACTACAGAGATAATGGATTCAACAATCCTTATCATTATCAAGCAAAGAATGAGATATATGCTCATTGAAGGTTATCTTGGAAGATGCCCTTCAAAGTATCCAAATGGATAAGGCATTTCCATATCTATGGTGAGGTTTTCCAATTTGTTCCTAGTTCTTCTGATTATGTCAAGCCCAAGATTATCATATATTCTTCTCAATGTAATCCATGATCATTCAAAAAATATTGGCAAACAGTACATACAATAAAAAACAAGATAATAAAAAAATCTTTTGTCCAGTCTGAGAAAAATTGGTGAATTATTAATCATATGTTGAGTCAGTCCATCAGTACATACATCTAAAACAAGTCCTACAGTTGGGCAATGAATTGAGTAAATAATGGAATAGGAGGGGAAGAAGAAGTAGAGAAGAATTTGGGAAATTACACCCACATTCAATGACCCCAATCTGCTCCCTTACACCAGAAAATAAAGAATTAAATTGTTCAGCATGAATGGAGTACAGCACAGGAAGCCCGTCTCATAGTCAGGAAGCCTGAGATTCAAACTGTACACATGATATCTACTGGTGGTCAGCACATGAGAAACTTTTGATAAATATTTCTTGAATCGAATTGTTTGTTAAGTAGTCAAGAATACAGTAACAGGGATGCCCATTGGATATGAGTTTGATGGGCTGCTCTCTGAGGTCCCTTCCATCTCCAAGACTCCATAATTATGTGATTACTTGCCAGTGCCTCAGCATATCACATGCTTTTGTTGATACTAATTCCTTTTTTTTTAAGGCAATTGGGGTTAAGTGACTTGCCCCGGGTCACACAGCTAGTAAGTGTCAAGTGTTTGGCCTGAGGCCACATTTGAACTCAGGTCTTCCCAACTTCAGGGCCAGTGCTCTATCCACTGTGCCATCTAGCTGCCCTGATACTAATTCTTAAAAACCCAAATGTTCTTCCTTGCTACTGCACTTATTAAAACTCTTCTCATTTCTCAAGGCCCAGATACAATGTCATCTCTCTCTCTAATCCTCCCTCATACCTCCAAACAGCATTGCTTAGGAGGAAGAGAAGAGATTAAATATTTATATAGCACCTACTATGGGCCAAACATAGTGCTAAGAGCTTTACAAATATCTCATTTGATCGTCACAACAATCACTTGAGGTAAGTGCTATTATTATCTCCATTTTACATTTGAGAAAAGTGAGACAAACAAAGGTTATGTGACTTGCCCAGGGTCATATAGTTATTAATAGACTGGATTTGAATTCAGGCCCAGCCCTATATCCACTGGGCCACCAGCGGCCTCTGGATTACCCCCTGCTCTGACCTTACGAAGAAGGATGAGTGGGGAAAGTTCTCTAAGTGCAGACAAAAAACCTAAGTCCTTTGTCCACACTGGAAAACATATTCCCTGTAACTGTACAACCCTGGGCAAGTCACTTAATCTGGCAGAGCTTCAGTCTCCTTATTCATTCAAAGGAAAACTAACTCTGCTTGACTAATAGGCACGTTATGAGTAAAGTGCTTTGGAACCTGAAACATGCTACAAAACTGAGTTAATATCTGATGTCAAAGTATTTCATTTATGCACTTCTTATGTACTGACCAGTTTATGATTTCTAGTGTAGTTATAAATGTGCTCAGTCTTCCCACTCCTGTAGACTATAAGCTTCTTGAAATTAAGGCACTGCCATAGAGATTGCATTTGTGATTTTGTTGGTACAGGGAACTCTCTCTACCAATGCAGGTCATCAGCTTCTCTACAACTTGTAGCCTTACAAGATGCCTAAAGCACTAAAAAGTTGAGTGACTTGCCCACAGTCACAGAACCAGCGTCAGAGGCAGCACCTGAGTCCAAGTCTTCCTAGGTCTTGGGCCAGATATCTTTACATTATACTTTTTTTCTGTCTTATTTGTAAGATCCATGAGATTTAGGATAGGATGAACTTTAGTGATGCTCTGAACACCACATTTTACAAATGAGGACACTGATGCCCAGGGAGAACTGATTTGCCCAAGAGCCCACTGGATTCTTGACTCTAAATACAGGGTTCTTTCTCCTCCAACAAACTACCTCCCTACACAGCAGGTATTCAGGGCATTACACATAGTATGCATTTAAGAAATGTTGATTAAATGAGTGTTTGTTGAAATTAGATGTCCCCAATACAGGCCTGATGTTTTTTGAGATATGATTTTTTTTTCCCAGAATAGAATAGTCATGATCGAGTTGCTTGGTCTTTTTTGCAAAGTGGATGCTACCTTACAGGTCAACAAATCAGTAAAAATCCACATCTCTGTCATGCCCACCAATGATCCTTTGAGTCATTTCAAAAGATTAAGAAAGAAATAGGAAATTTATCTGTCCTTACTTGTATGCTAAGCAGAATTCACACAAGTTCTTGTAAGTTTTATGGTTAGATGTACATACTGGGTCAACATTCGGAGAACATTTATTTCCTTCTTTACTTTGTTTCTCAAGTTCTCATAAGAATTTTTGACAGTTAGGCTGGAAAAATCATAAAACATTAGAATATAAATCAGGGAGCAAGTCCTATAGCCATAGGTTCAAAATCATTGTATCAATAGTATTAATGATTAATGCCATTGGCTTCAGTACAGCCTAGAAGTAAAGGAATGCTAAGCCTGTCTAGGCTTCAGGCTCTAATATATTAGACTTCAGGCCCAAGGCATGTGTTTCTAAACCATGAACTTGCTCTATTCCAAGATAAGAGGAGCCTCAGAGGGTATCTAGTCCAACCTATAATTGAACAAAATAACCGCAACAGAATGCCTGAAAAATAGTCATCAGTCCTCCATTTGATTATCTACACAGTTCATCTCACTTGGAGAAAATCTCAATTATTAGGAAGTTTTTCCTTATACCAAAACTAGATCTGCATGACCCACCGGTTTTAATGTGACCCCCAGTGTCTCACAAAATAAGAGTAATCATTGTTGTTCAGTCATGTCTGACTCTTTGTGACCCCATTTGAGGTTTTCTTGGCAAAGATACTGGAGTGGTTGTCATTGCCTTCTCCAGTTCCTTTTACAGATGAGGAAACTGAGGCAAATAGGGTTAAGTGACTTGCTCAGAGTCACACAGCTAGTAAGTGTCTAAGGCCAGATTTGAACTCAAATCTTCCTGACTCCAAGCCCAGTGCTCTGTCTACTGTGCTACCTAGCTGCCCTAAGAGTAATCACAGAATAACAAAATCTCAGAGCTGGAAGGAAACTGAGACAACATCTAGTTCAACTCATACACTAATAGGAAACTCCTCTTCAACATCCCTGAACAGTGGTCTTCTGGCTTCAAATTGAAGATCTCTGCTCTTTTTGCCTCACATCCCTTTCATGTGATAGCACTACAAATACTTGAAGTAAAAAATTTTCCCCACCCAACCGCCATAGCCTCCACCCAAGTCTTCCCCCTTCCAAATACCCAATTCAAACATTCCCCTTTTCATCAGTCAGACTATGGCAGATTAGACTATGATATGATGTCTAATTCCCTTCAGAATCCTGTTTCTCAAGTTCTAAGTATGATTTAGACATAAATATCCTTCCCAAAATGTAGTGCCCATATCTGGATACAATATTTCAGATATGTCCCAAGGGCAGTGGATGATATAAAGATCACCTCTCCCACTTCTTATGCAACTGAAAATCACAATATCTTTTGGGGTTGCCATACTGTAACATTAGTTCATCTTAAACTTTAGATTCACTAAAACTTCAAGATCACTTGAATATAAACTACTGCCAACCCACATTTTCCACATCTAGTACTTAATAAGATTAATTTATTTTATTCATAACGTGGGACTACATGTATCACTACTCAATTTTATCAGTTAGTTTAGACCATTATTCTGTCTAGTTGAGCTCTTTGAGGATCCCCAGTTATCATCAGCATTAATAATAGTAGTAGTAATAATAATGATCAGCAAACTTTTGCCTGTGGGCCAAGTCAGGACACCTTGCTCTTTTTTTATTGCCTTAGCTCTGGTACATCCAAAGCAGGTGCCAGGCTACGTTGGCTGATGGGCTATAGTTTGCCAATCCCTAATTAATGCCAATAATAACTTAGTTTACATAGCACCATGAGATTTACAAAGCCCTTTACATGGAACACTCCTGTAATATTGATAGCATAGATATTATTAGACCCAATTTATAGATAAGGAAGGTGAAGCTTAGAGATGTCTGGGTTTCCAAGGTCACAGAGCTATTAAATGTTAGTACGAGGATTCAAACCCAAACGCAGTCATTTGACTCCAAGCCCAGTATTCTTTCCACTGTGCAAAAGTGCAATCTAACATTAGCTATTCCTCCTTGCTTCCTATCACTCACAAGTATGATATTCACACCATCTATGTATTTATCCACATCACTGATAACAAAGTGCAATAGTTAGGGCTAGGGGGAGTCCTGAAGTACTTCCTTAGAAGCTTTACTCAAGGTGAGTATTGATCTGTCAATCACTACCCTTTCAATTCAATGACTATATACTTCCTGAATTTGCCTAAAATTAGTATCAACTAGGAAACATCTTTTCATTTTGTCCAGAAACATATTGGGAATTATGACATCCCTCTGCAATTCCATCCTAGGAACTCTGTTGAAAAAGGAAGTGAGGTTAGTATTATGTGACTTGTTCTTAATTGATCCATGCTGACTTGTAGTAATCACTATTTCTTTGAGTAAATGCTCACCAAATATTCCTTTGTTGATGCATAATTGTGCAATTTATAGTTGTTGACACCTGATCTATGAGGCAACTAATATTCATTGATTCTACTATCTAACTCATCTACTTGCATTATGGAATGAATATAGATAGACATCTATTCTGATAGTCTTTTCTAGAGCTCCATATTTTCTGTGTCTTCTGCCTAATCATAAATTATATCATTTAACAAGTGAAATGAAAACTATTTGATTAATGTTCCTTCGTGTGTTAATTTATTCATTCAGTTTATAATCATTAAGAACCTGCCTACTATATGCAGGGCCCCATAATAAACACTTGGGGAGACAACACAGGTATATAACTTGTTGTTATAGAGTCATAAACCACTGGAATCTGGAAAGGAATCCTAGAACTCAGAACACATAATGATAGCACTATAAATACAACAGTAAGAGACCTTAAAAATATAACAAAGGATTCAGAGTTGAAGGGACCTTAAAGATTATCCAGTCCTACTTCTTCATTTTATAAATCGAAAAAATCAAGTCCCAGATTGGGAGGTGGGAATTTTCTAAGGTCATGCAAGAAGTCAGGAGAGCTGGAACTAGAAAAGTAGCCTTCTGATTTCCAGACCAATGTTCTTTCCATTAAACCACATTACTCTCATGAACTCACGAAATAGTCAGCTGAGACACCTACTATAACTATAAAGCAGAGTGCTATCCACACAAAGGAAGCACAGAGAAGCTAGTATTGGCTTCTCCCTTCAGATCTAGTCTGTAAAAGATTGTATGACACTGAAGCAGGGGGGTGTCATGAAAGGAGCACTTAAGATGGTCAGAAGACCAAGGTTCACTTGCCTAGTTCTGCCACTTACCTCTATGTGACCACAGACAAGCTGCTTAATGACTTGACTTCTCAATTTCCTCATCTGTGAAATGGGGAAGTTGAACTAAGTGACCCCGTAAGTGCCCTTCCAGCTCTCCATCATATGAACACAATTAGAAATCTGGCCTGAGGCCTAATCGGTCCATTCCTTACCTTTTGGAACACTAAAGACTGCAGACCACTGAAAACCTCTGCAACCAAACGACAAGAGCAGTTAAAGAAAGTGACGTCAGGTGTTGGTAGAATGAGACAATACCTCCTCATCCTTCAGGAATGTTTCTACCTACACGGAACTTGGGGCCTGAACATTTAAGGAGCCCATGATTTTATAGCAAGGATTATAGTGTGTACTCAGAGCAAAGGACCAGGTAGTCACCAGGTAGTATTCTGTAAGACTTTAATTAGGTTGAAAGACTGGCTATTCAATAGTTTCCTCCTTCTTGGCCAATCTGTATCATTTACATTTTTCTCTCCACAAAATAGTTTTACTTAGGAAGGCTCACAGATTAAGACCAAAGTTATTATGTTCCCCCTCCCCATCTCCTACTGATGATTATCTTTCTAATTTCATTATTTCCATCTAATAGCATTAGTACTCCCTTGTTTATAATCTTAGCACACTCTTTGACTCTTTCTTCTCCCTTACTGCTTATTACCAAATCTTGTTGTTTCATTTCTGCAATGTCTTTTGCAATTGTTTCCTCCTCTCTACTCCCACTGCCTCCACCCCAATGTAGTTACTCATCTAAACCACTTCAGTAGGTGCCAGTTACTCATCTAAACCACTTCAGTAGGTGACTTCAGTAGGTAACAGGTCTTCCTGACTTGGACATCTTTCCTTATAATTCATCACATCACTGCCAAGAATATTATTCTGGTTGGAGCTGGTCAACTCACTCCTCTGCTCAAAAACATATAATGATTACCTCTTTCCTACTAAACAAAATAGAAATTTTTTGCTTGCAATTCAAAGTCTGCCACAATACAGCATCATTCATTTTTTTCCATCTTTGTCTCACAGTCTCCCTCCATGCACTCTACTCTCCAGACTGCTCTACCCTCTATGCCTCCAAGATATCCTGCAGTCTCACATTTCTGTGCCTTCCCTCATGGCATTCTGTATGATTAGAAGGCCCTCTCTCACTCTCTTCACCTATTACATTTCTACCTATCCTTGAAAGTCCAACTTAAATTGCCTACTCTTCCATCTTGCCTTCCCTAGTTCCCCTATAGTTCATGATAGTCCCTTATTGTTATAATATAAAGCTTTGTTTGCACTCTTATAATATACATTTTGTGTCTGGTGGATATATGGGGCCTACCTTGGGGTCAAGAAGACCTGGGTTTCTTCATCTCTTAGAATACCTCAAAGCTCAGTTCAAGCATCGCCTCCTAAACAAGGCCTTTCCTGATGCTCCCAAATGCTTGAACTTTCTTCACAAAATGGCCTCTTATTTATTGGATGGCCTCACTTAAGCCAGGAAAATCAGCAGTTGTTTTTTTCAAGGTTAACATCCATGCTCAGTCCCCTTGCCCTAATAGAACACAAGAGTTCCTTGGTGCCAAGGACTATTTCATTTTTGTCAGTGTATCCCTAGGACCTAGCACAGCCCTGGCACATCACATAGGGGATCTTATCTCTGAAGCACATTAGTTGTGTGTCCAGAGGCAAGTCACACAAGCCTTCTCAGTGCCTCAGTCATCTCTCTAAGACAACGGGATAAAAATGAGTTGCATGTGTGTATCACTGGAGGGATTTTATAAACGTAAGTCAATGAAAAAGAAATGATAGCTGACATTTATATAGTGCTTAGAAAATGCTAGACACTGTGCTAAGTGCTTTACAATTATTATCACATTTGATACTCATAACAACCATGGGGGTAACATGATATTATTATCATCCCCATTTTACAGATTAAGAAGCTGAGGCAGACAGAAATTAAGCAACTTGGCAAGAGTCACACAGCTAGGACATATCTGAAGCCAACTTTAAATTCAGGTCTTCCTGATTCTAGGCTAAGAGTGTCTATCCACGGTGTTACCTGACTGTGATGTCAAAGGACTAAAAAATGCATTTATAATATATTACTATGAATTAATGATTATCTAGCTCTCCACTAAATCATAAGCTCCACAAGAGCAAAGATCATGGTTTATATGAACTCTCTTGGTGGAGTCAAGATGGTGGAGTAAAAGCAGTGACTTGCTTGAGCTCTCCCCCAAACCCCTCCAAATACTTATAAAAATGGCTCTAAATAAATCCTAGAATAGCAAAACCCACAAAAAGACAAAGTGAAACAAATTTCCATCCCAAGACAACCTGAATGGTTGATTGGAAAGGTCTATTGTGCCATGCTGGGAGAGGAGCTTAGTTCAGCATGGGTCACACAGGTAAAGACCAGGCCTCTGTGAACCTGGAGGAGGCTTCAGAGGACTGAATCATGGGCAGCTGCAGCCATTTCCAGACTTCTCGACCCACAAACACCAAAGACAACTTTGAAGGTCAGTAGGAAAGGTCTATGACAGCAATGAGAGAGAAGCTCGCTCCCAGCCCCAGTCCCAGCACAGCCCCAGGGCAGGAGTTGCTTCCAGAGCTATTGGCCCACAGACAGAGGAGCAGTCAAGTGGCTAGTCAGAGGGGGTTCACAGGGATCTCTTTGCTGGTGATGAAGCAGGATTTTCTTGTTTTGCCTGTGGTTGGATCTGGGTCGCAGTTCTGGGTGGCAGTCCTAGGGCGAGGAGGAGTGCTGGTGTAATGAAACTTGTAGTGGCAGTGGAGAGGGAATCCTCTTCTCATTTCCAATGCAGAAAAGAGTGCTTGTGGTCACTCATAGACCAGAGTACAGTACAGGAAAGGAGTAAATACCTTGCCCTTGATCATATCACTTTGGAAGAAAGGAAAATTTACAGGTCCCTAGAAGTGTCTCTGAAAACATCTGCACAAAACCCCTGAAGCTTGGGACAGTACATTTTTCACACTTGAAGCAGACCCCTACCTTAACAAAGAGTTTATAACTCAAGTAATTGGCTGGGAACATGAACAAACAGTGCAAAAAAAGTCAGACCATAGAATCTTTCTTTGGTGACAAAGAAGATCAAAACATGCTACCAGAAGAAGACAACAAAATCAAAGTTCCTACATCCAAAGCCTCCAAGAAAATAGGAATCAGTCCCAGGCCATGGAAGAGATCCAAAAGGATTTTGAGAAGCAAGTAAGGGAAATAGAAGAAAAACTGGGAAGAGAAGTGAGAGTGATGCAAGAAAATCATGAAAAGCAAGTCAACAGCTTGGTAAAGGAGACTCAAAAAAGTACTGAAGAAAATAACACCTTAAAAAATAAACTAACCCAAATGGCAAAAGATCCAAAAAGCCAATGAAGAGAAGAATGACTTCAAAAGCAAAATTGGTCAAATGAAAAAGGAGGTCCAAAAGCTCAATGAAGAAAATACTTTTTTAAAAATTAGAATGGAACAAATGGAAGCTAGTGACCTTATGAGAAATCAAATCATTGTAAAACAAAACCAAAAGAATGACAAAATAGAAGAAAATGTGAAATATCTCATTGGAAAAACAACTGACCTGGAAAATAGATCCAGGAGAGATAATTTTAAAATTATTGGACTATCTAAAAGCCATGATCAAAAAAAGAGTCTAGACATAATCTTTCAGGAAGTTATTAAGGAAAACTGCCTTGATATTCTTGAACCAGAGGGTAAAATAGAAATGGAAAGAATCCACCAATCACCTCCCATAAGAAATCCCCAAAGGAAAACTCCTAGGAATATTGTAGCCAAATTCCAGAGTTCCCAGGTCAAGAAGAAAATATTGCAAGCAGCCAAAAAGAAACTGTTCAAGTATCATGGAAACACAATCAGGATAACACAAAATTTAGTAGCTTCTACAGTAAGGGACTTGAGGGCTTAGAATATAATAGTATAGAGGTCAAAGGAGATATGAATACAGCCAAGAATCACCTACCCAGCAAACTTGAGTATAATCCTTCAGGGGAAAAAATGGACATTGAGTGAAATAGAGGACTTTCAAGCATTCTTGATGAAAAGACCAGAGCTGAATAGAAAATTTGACTTTCAAATACAAGGCTCAAGAGAAACATGAAGAGGTAAACAGGAAAGAGAAATCATAAGGGACTTATTAAGGTTGAACTGTTTACTTTCCTACATGGAAAGATGATATTTGTAACTCATGAGACCCTTGTCAGCATTAGGGTAATTGGAGGAAAAAATTATATGGATGGATAGATAGATAGATAGATAGATAGATAGATAGATGGCACAGGGTGAGTTGAAGATGAAGTGGTGATATCTGGAGAATAGAATTGAGGGGTGAGAGAGGATTATACTGGGAGAAGGAGAAAGGGAGAGGTAGAATGGAGTAAATTATCTCACTTGAAACAGACAGGAAAAGGCTTTTACAGTGGAGGGGAAATGGGGGAAGGTGAGAGGGAATGAGTTAATCTTATTCTCATAGGATTTGGCTTAAGGAGGGAATAACATACACAATGGGGTATGGAAATCTGTCTTACCCTACAGGAAAATAGGGAGGAAGGGGATAAGACAGTGGGAGGATGATAAAGGGGAGAGCAGATTGGGGGAAGGGGGTAATCAGAAACAAACACTTCTGAGGAAGGAGAGGGTTAAAAGAGAGGAGAGAATAAATGGGGGGTGGGATAGGATGAAGGGAAATACAGTTAGTTTAAAAAAAATTTAAAAAATATAAACTCTTTCTAACTCCCTCAGCTCAAAGCACCAATTACTGCCTAGAGTAGATGCTTAATAAAGGTTGAATGAAATTGAATGGCTGACAGCACAGTTCTTCAGTATGGGATTTGATCAGGAAATGCACATTATAATCAGCATCATAGAAAATCCTTTCCTAATGGTTGCTCAGGGGTCCCAACACTGATAGGAACAACCTAGGCCAGGTAATGGGGTACACTATTTTCTTTCTAAAAGTTTGGGAAAATCAGATGTTCCCCACCTGTGACTAAGAGCATTGCTCACCTGAGAAACCAGATAATTCCAAGATAAAGAGAGCCAAGAGAGCCTTGGTTGCCAGTAGGGAGAAGGCCATGTTTTCTCTCCAGAATTTTCTACTTCCTACCTCCCCTCTCAGGCTCTTCTCACATGACCCTAAAATGGAGAACATTATCTCTCAGTTGGTGATCACTCTTATTTATTTGTTCACATGGCACATTAAATGCAGGCTACTGAAGACTATAACAATTTGTTCAGAATAATTTGTCTTTGCACAAAGC